TTTTTCGACATGTGCCATAACTCCAAATTCCTTGAGGCTTCGCCTTTAGAACACCTTTATGTTGTTGTAAAACATGTATCAAAATCAGCTTGGCTTATTCTTCGGGTGCTTTTTGAGGCCCGGCTGAAAAACCCTGATTTTACCTGAAAGATCACGAAAAGTAAACAATGGACTTCTGCGCGTTGGTCTAAGGGCAAGCGGGCATAGGCGTTAAAAGTCCTTGTATTATTAGTTCCTTGTACTAAACACTTTTATGTTGTTGTAAAACATGTATCAAAATCAGCTTGGGTTGTTCTTCGCGTGGTTTTTAACGCGCCGCTGATATAGCCGGATTTTAACGAAAACATCAACAAGAAGTAAACAATCGACTGCTTGCGTGTTTTTCTGAGGCCAAGAGAGACAAGAGAGTCTGCTGAAGTAAAGTGGTTTAACTTCTTTCATTACCATATTTCCGTTCTGCAGGTCAATATGCTTCCGTTAAAGTAAAATAAGATGATAACAGGAGTTTAATCATGCATTCAAAAGTACCTTCACTCACAGGGAATATTTCAATCTTTTTACTTTGATTAGATTACTGACAAACGGACAATGTGTAGATTTCACAATCACGGCACCGCAATTCTAAACAAATCAACCTGTTTAACTGTGTACTTGTATAAATAAAGTTACAGAGTTGCATTTACTTCAGTTCAATATGGAAAACAGGACTGCAAAGTAAATGCGAGCAGGCGCGTGTCCATTTAAAACTGGGAAAGTAGAACGGAAGGTACACTAACCTGCGCCGACAAAAACAACAGTGATCGCAAGAAAGATTTCCGCCGGTAAACCTGACATAGCAGCATATAGAAGTCTTGGGATTCTTGTTCTATTCTTCTCTTTTTCGTGGTCTCTTCGTGGAACGGATACCATGTTGGATAGCGGCAACTGAAATTGGTGTAACCCAGCCTGTCTTTTCGTATCACTGCCAAATAGGATTCGCTGACCTCTGACTTTCCTTGACAATCTCGTTATCAGTTTATGCGACGATAATGGAAGAATTACTGACCAGAGTCCACCCGCATTGCTTAGCAATTCTTCTGATCCAAAAACAGAACAGTTCGTGTTTTTGAAACATACCATAGGAGAAACGACAGAAACCTTTAAAAAAGATCCGCATTTGCGAACTTCTACCGTCCGACCTTCAATCGGCTACATATATGACGTGTCATGCGTTCCGAAAGGAAACGAAGTGTTAGCAAAAGTCTCAAAATTAATTTAGGGTAGAGCTTCGATCATTATATCGTTGCAGTATGTTTTACACGACGGAAAAAAAAATACAAAGCAAAAAAAAAGAACAAGAGCACGGAGGATACATCTCGTTTTTACCTGCACCGTGACGTCTAAGATAGAATTCTCTTGGGAAAATTCAACCTGTACTGGGTAAAATTAATTAGCTTAAATGGATTTGGCGTGCTTAAATATTCCATCCTGCAGTCCAGCTAACTACTGCAAGCGGGTGTTTTAGTGAGTCATGGATTGCCAATCGTAGAAAGTCGAAAAAATGTGAAAACATTGGTAAAAAAAACACTTCGCTTTGGCGGGAAATATTTCTGACCGAACTTTTCATTGGAAGTCGTACTCCGATTTGTTTGTAGATACCAATTTTAATTAAACTAGATATTGACAAAAGTATAAAAGACTATTGGAAACATGTTTTACTTCGGAAATAAACGGCCGCCTTTTTGTAAAACAACGCACTCTGTGNATACATCTGATTCTGGCTTTGCTTGGTCCAGCTCTGTGTTTTCCAAATCTTGTCTATTATTGCATAACACACAACAGGAATGAGATTCTAGCAAAGACTTCAAATTCTGACAAAGCACTTTCTTATCAGTTTCTACATACTCAACTTGGACTGGAGCAGTTTTCAAAAAGTTATCCTTGTGAAGATCAGCTGTAGTGATCCATTTTTGACAAAACATCTTAGCCTCAGGACTAAGTTCATTACTCCTCCATGTACCACTCTCTTTATCCCAGAAATGCCTTCCTCCCAAATCTTTGTCATCTTGTGGTGAGACAAATGGCTGGTAAAACAAGTCCCCAGTAGATGACATTTGAAACACAGTAAAACCCTTTTGCGGATGAGAGGTGTGAGGCATGGTGCAGACACCTATGAGTGGTTGCGAAAGCCTTGAAGCAGATACTGGTGAGAATGTGAGGTCACTGCTAAGTCCTGTGTAATACCACTCATTATAGGATGACACCTGCAACAACAAAAACAACAAAATAGTTTCTTTAAAATCTCTGATTATTGAAAATCTGCAGGTAAAAGTACTATTTTTAGTAGTAATGTCACAGTCATAAAGTAATTTTTGTCTAGGTGATTCCTCTAATAAATTATATTAGATAATAATATAATTTAACTAATAATGTACAGTCCTAAGAAAATATGTGTGCTGATTGGTTAAAAATCGTGTTTCTATAACTTTGTGGAAACACAGAACTAGCATGAGCTGTTGACGTAATGATGGCACGAGCAAAGAGAATTTACATTTTGGTAATCAAAGTTAACAAGTTGTTTTCCTTTTCTTCGTCACAGTGTTTTCTAAAAGAAATAGAAAACATGTTCTGTGTTTCTATCGAGTTATAGAAACACTAGTGAAAGTTTGGGAGAATTCAAAAAAGCTGTGGAAACACTCGCCACAGCATTTCTCACTCTCCCAAACTTCCACTCGTGTTTCTATAACTCGATAGAAACAGGGTACATGTTTCCTATTTCTTAAATAGTGTTGCAGTACCACATAGTGAATAAGATCATCACTGAAAATGTTTTTAAGCATGCACCAACTTTGAAGAATTATGTACAGTCTGTTCATGCAACCAGTGGTCACTACTTATGGGAGAGTTTTTGAAATGCTAGTTGACTGAGAGAAAAAAAGGTTACTGGCATTTACAAAGTGGTCATTAAAGGGAAGTGGTTGTTGAGAGAGAGTTGGCTGTTGTATAATTTAAATTTCAAATTAATTTGCTCTATTTTGTGAAATCCAGAATATAATCAACTCAGTTGAATGGTAATTTACTTGTAAATAGAGTCAACAACTCAGAGCGTTTTGTAAACATTCAGACATCCCATCTGCGTGGTAGTGTTATTTCAGTCAGCATTGGGCTGTCAAAGGGATTTCATCACTCGAACACTATCACGTAAGAGACATTGTCTTAAAGTGTATGTGACACAATTTTTTTTCCGCTGATTCTGCTCGTTAATAATGATGGAAAAACGGTGGTAAAATTTTTAGATCGTGAGAATATTTTGAAACCCCTGTTTTTTTGTTCGAAATACGCGCTACTTTCATGTTGAAATTGTCCCAGAGATCGTGCAGCCAAAATGTCACATGATTTACGTCCATGACGTCACTGTGTTTGATAAACAAACCAATATAGCTGAAAGCAAAGGGAAACGTTTGAAGCATGGGGGTCGATATTGCGTGGCAAATCACTTGCACATTTGAAGCCACGTGCAAGAGAAATGACAAGGCGGCTTCCCGTGACAGCAATGTTATCAAACACTGTGACATCACAAACAAAATTTTCGTCCTCAGTTTCCCAGGACACTTTTATAGGGAAATTGGCTGTATTTCGGCTGCAAAAAAATCATCCAAATTATTATTTTTTTGCATTTTCAAAACATTATTCATTTATTACATATATCAAGGAAGGAAGATACTAAAAAAATTTTTGTGTCATATACCGCTTTAAAGAGACTAAAGATTGAGGTTCAGGGACAGACCGTAAAGCTTTAACTTTTACACTGGAAGGCCATGAAAGGCACCACATATACGGTTTTATTATGAGAAGGCTCGTGGCAACAATCAGTAGTATTGTGTAACCCACTTGCCACAATTGAAATAAAGCATAATTACTTTTTGATAGTTGTCTATCATAATCGTTGTACAAGTAGGGTAAGTGCACTCGTCATATTTTGGGAGCATTTTTATTTTCGTATTTTCTGGGCGATTTTAACTCATTGACTCCTGTGCCGGCCGTGACGAGCCTTGGCCTTTCTTCCACTTCTGACGTCATCACCTTTGACCAAAATTGGCATCACCTATGTTCAACTTCTGCAGGAGGAAAAGATCTTTCAAATGATACCCAGATCAGAGTGGTCGGCCCAATGGAGCCTGAGATATGCACGAAAATGCTCAAAAGGTTGAGTGAAAAACTCGGAGCAAAATTTCCTGCCACTTCACGTGGCTACTCCATGATAAAGATTGCCCGTCGCGATGATGCTCTCTCAGAATTTTTTAAACTGGAACCAAGCCCAGTAGAAGGTCAATCACTGCAGCAAAAAGAAAAGAAAAGGAGAAAAAGGGAAGGCGAAAAAAAAATACAAAAATCGAAAAGCCTGAAGACGTAGGTCATTTTCTAGTCAAAAACTTAAAATCTCAAAATTTTGATTTCTGCACATGGCCGAGCAAAAATGTCGTAAAACGTGATGCTAGTGGAAAGAAAGACGTGCTGTCATGTTGCAAATGCCTTTTTGAGCAGATTGGAGCTAATTTGGCCCATATCCAGCCTGAAAATCTCCAAAGTGTCCAAAAAATGCGTTTTTGGCAAAAGCTTCAGGGGTCACTGGGTTAATAAGTGTTAGAAATATTATTGGACTGAGTCGAATACAATTCAGAGAGTAATCGTATCTATAACAAAATTCTTGATCGTGATTGGTTCTCCGCGCGCCTATTTGTCACATAATCAGTAATTGGACCTCGTGTCGTACAATTCAGGGTGAAATCGTAATCGTAATTTCAAATCGGCCCCCCGCTTCGCGCTAGACCGATTTTGAAATCACTCGCGCGATTTCTCCCTGAATTGTACTCCACTCGGTCCAATTACTATTACAAATAGGCGCGAGCGGAGAACAAATCACGATGGAGAGTTTTATTATAGATAAGATTAAACAATTAATCGCGCTTGTTGGGTATGAAATGATTATAGCCAACTCGGCCCTACGCGCCTCATTGGCCATTTATCATCTCATATCCAACGCGCGCTTGCGGAATAATTCTTAATAATCATACGGCAAAGTAGCCTTGGTGTTAATCCGAGTGTTTTGGTTGTTTCTTCTTGGTCTGGATTTTGCCATACACGCAAAGTCCATCGAAACGGTCAGGTTGTTGTTGTTGTTGTTGTTGTTGTTGTTGTTGTTGTTGTTGTTGTTGTTTTTCGAGTGCTCGTTAACCTAACTTACTCGAGAAAAACGGAATATTGGTCCTAGTTACTTTTTTGAATTTATATTTTATCTACGAATCTCGCGATACTCTTCAGTCATTTACTTTGTTTATCACAGTCGAAACTATTGCAAAAACTAAATCCGGAACACAGCGATAAATTTGCAATAAAAATTTTTAAAAATTAGCCGTCGTGGTTCACATTCTCCAGACAACGCAAAATTTGATCATTTCACGCTGTTGTCTCGCAGAGGACGGCAAAGAAATGTACCGAGAATTATAACGCACATGCACAGCCATTGTATGGCTCATTAATTCGTTTGTTCAGTGACGTTCCCGTTTCCGTTGCCGTCGTGGTTTCGTAGATTCCCTATTAGTAACTAGTGAGCTTAAGAAAACAACGACGGAAATGGCAACGTTTCCAAACAAAAGGCTTAATGAGGAGAACAATGGCTGTGCCCGTGCGTTATAATTCTTGGTAAATTTTTTGCCGTCCTCTGCAAAACAACAACGTGAAATGATCAAATTCTGCATTGTCCGGAGAACGTGAACTATGACGGCTGACTTTTTACAATTCTATTGCGACTTTATCGATGTATCCTAGATTCCGTTTCGTGATAGTTGTGACAGTGATAAACAAAGTAGATGACTTTAGGGTACCGCGAGATCGAGATTCGTAGGTAAAATCATTTTCAATCGACGCTGTCCTCGACGTCGCGGTCGTGGTTTCTTAAGCTCCTTACGGTCAACCAAGCAACGAAGATTAGAAAAAGCGATTTATGATTTAGTTTGCCCAAGAGCTCAGGCAGGATCTGCTCTGCTGTATACTTTCGGTCATGTATGTTGACGCACAGCACTGGCACCAGTTACTAAAGTTTTATTCCAGGCTACTCCCCCTCACATAGCCTCACTGCTTCACTATGTCTGTGTAAAGTTGCAAGTCACTGCAGTGATCTAAAATTAGACTTAACAGAGTTACCAGTCGATTCAAGTGAGCTTTTTCACAAATTAATTGTGCCTTGAAAAGAAGAGTATTTTACTGAGTCAGTTAACTTTGAACGCGCTCTAAAATACAAGGTGATTTATTTTCAAATTCCTCTCCTCTACCCCCCTCGAATAAGACAAGTTCCTTAGGTCGGATAGAAAGAAAAAGGAGAGAGTACTGGAGTGAGAGGGAGTACAGTGCAGTTGTCAGTTTGTCAACCTTGCGCTCTTGACGGAAGATTAAGAGCGGAGGGTGGTGCATATTTTAAAACTCCACCCCTTCCCCTCAGAAAAAGACAATTTTGGTGGGAAGAGACAAAAAAAGAGTACAAACAGAAGACTTAAACTTTTAATCTAAACTGTTCCGATTATTGTACACATGAAAAATTACAAGAATGGCCTCCCCTCCCCCTCCCTCAGAAAAAGGTTATTTTTCTGGGGATACTGGGGAGGGGAATATCCGCCCCCCCCCCCCNCAAAAAAAAAAATGTAAAAAGATTGGGGGTTTTTGTTTCAAGTTTTGGAGTCTTAGGAGTCTTGGGGGTCTTAGGGGTCTTTCAAGACACCCGTTTTTTCTAACATGTTGTACACGATTGGCCACATATGTAACTTGTCCCTATGTTTAACTACACCTCTTTAGTCCTTGGAGGAGAGGTTACAAAAAGGTGCTGGAATAAAAGGAAGCGCCCACACCTTGACGGAAAGAGAAAAATCAAAGCTAAAATTGCCGCCTGCGTCGGTACGTTTCTTTCATTCCGGAAGTTAAAGATGTCACACAAGACTTGAGTGACGCTTTTCGTTTCCATGTAACAGAGAGAGAGAGAGAGAGAGAGAGAGAGAGAGAGAGAGAGAGAGAGAGAGAGAGAGAGAGAGAGAGAGAGAGAGAGAGAGAGAGAGAGAGAGA